CTCAAAAACAAACAAACAAAAAATAAACAAACAAGAGAATCTCAAATACACATTGTAATTTGACACTTAAAGGAACTAGAAAAACAACAAGCAAAGACCAAAGAGAACAACAAAAAAAAAAAGGAAATAATAAAAATTGAGTAGATGTAAATTAAATAGATTCTAAAAATGCAATACAAAAATCTATGAAATCTAAAGCTGGTTCTTTGACAAAAGTAAACAATAATTAACCAGATTTATCAAGAAAAAAAAAAAGTGAGGACCCAAATAAATAAATCAGAAACAAAAGAGAAACATTGTCTCATACACCAGAAGATTGTTGATTTGATTCCCAGTCAGCACACATACTTAAGTTGTGTATTTGGTCCTTGGCTGGGGTGCTTATGGGAGGCAACTAATCTCTCTCTCCCTTCCTTACTCTTCCCTCCCTCTTCTTCTTCCTCACTCTCTATAAAAATCAATAAACATATACTTGGGTGAGGATTTTAAAAAAAACTTAAAAGACATAGAGATCAATGAAACAGAATAGAGAGTCCAGAAATAAACCTACGACTTTATGGTCAATTTACATTTGACAAAGAAGGCAAGAACAAACAATAGAGTAAAGATAATCTATTCAATAAATGGAGTTTGGAAAATTGGACAGATAATGCAAAATAAAAACAAAACACCCCACAAATGAGCCTAGACCACCATCTTATCCCATACACAAGATTAAACTCAAAAATGTATCAAAGACCTAAATATTAGACACAAAACCATGAAAATCTTAGAGGAAAACTTAGGCAGTAAAGTCTCAGACTTTCCTCTTAGCAATATATTTTTCTGATACATTACCTCAGGCACAAGAAATAAAATAAAAAATAAACAAATGGGACAACATCAGACTAAAAGTTTTTTGCCCAGCAAAGAGTCCATTAACAAAATGGAAAGGAAAACATATTTTCCAATGATACATTAGATAAAGGATTAATATTCAAAATTTATGAAGAACTCACACAATTTAACACCAAAAAAAGAGAAACAGTCCAAAAAGAGCAAAGGATCTGAATAGACACTTCTCCAAAGAGGTCAAATGGCCAATAGACATGTGAAAAGATGGTCATTGTCAATCATCAGAATGCACATTATATCCACAATGTGATGTTACCTCACACCTGACCATAATGCAATGAAAACAGATACTATCATCAGTAAATCAAGTGCTGGTGAGAATGTGGAGAAAAGGAAACCTTTGGTGCACTGTTGGTGGGAATGCTCATTGATGCAACCACTGTGGAAAATAGTATGGAGTGTCCTCAAAAAATTAAAAATTAAACTGCCTTATGACCCAGTGCTTCCACTATATATAGGAAGAAACTTGAAACACTAATTTGGAAGAATATATGCACACTTTTGTCCATAGCAGTGTTATTTACTAGTACAATAATCAAGGTTTGGAAGCAGTCCTAGTGTTCATCAGTGGATGAGTGGATAAAAAAGCTGTGGTACATTATACAATGAAATACTACTTGGCCCTAAAAATGAAGGAAGTCTTACCTTTTGTGACAGCATGTATGGACCTGGAGAGTAGTATTATGCAAAGTGAAATGAGCTAGTCAGAGGAAAACAGATACCATATAATTTCACTTATATGTGGAATATAGTGAGCAAAATAAACAAACCAATAAAATAGCATCAGACTCATAGATACAGGGAACAAACTGACATGTGTCAGAGGGGAAGAGGTTTGGGTACTGGCTGTTTAAAGAGATTGAGGAAAAAAATAAGCTCACAGAAACAGACAACAGTATGGTGATTACCAGAGGGGAAATGAGTTTAGGGGATGTAGAGAGGGTGAAGGGGGGTAAATGATGGAAGGAGGCTTGACTTTGAGTGGTGAACATAATACAATGTACAGATGATGTATTTTAGAATTGTACATCTGAAACCTATGTGATTTGATTAACCAATGTCCTCCCCAGTAAATTCAATAAAAATGAATTTTGATTGAAAGGGGGAGAAAGTGATAAAAGTTATAAGATTAAGGAAATATTTTATTTTTCTTGTAAGAAGAGAGCAACTTGAAAATATATAGAGAGTGAGAAAAAGGATCCTGTGGAAATGGGAGAGATTGAAAATATAGGGGGAAGAGGGAGTAAGTTCCTGGAGGATATTGAAAGGGGGCGGAATGGAAATCACAGGTGAGCAGATGGCTTTGATCACTTTTACTCTGGTGCACATATTCGGTTCCAGCCATTTCTGTTTTCTCCCTGGCCTTTTAAGTCATTAAACAATTGGACAAGAAAATCCATATGGTCTTTCTAGCTTTGGATGTCATGACTCTCAGCCAGCTTCTTTAGGGATAAGATTTGCTATCAGAGAACTCTCTCACCAGGGGTAACTGGACACAAGTGGTAAAATTTAGGAAGGGAAACAAATGAGAGCTTTTTTTCTTTCCTGCTGAACTCAACTAACAGTACCTTTGTAAACATCATCTATTAAATTCTTTTGTTTCCCTGAACAATGAAATCTCTCTCGCTAGACATCTGTTTTTCTCTTCCATCAAATTTTGAAATAAAACTGAATTATTGCCAGAAAAAAGTAAGAAAAATTGTTTCATACTAATCTTATTCAGTCTGAATTATATGTGTTGCTAAACTATATATGGAAAGCTTCCCATTTATAGGTAGATATTTTCAACTATAGGTATTAGAAATTATGTATGAAGCTTATAGAGGATAGTGATATGATTAAAAAGGATTATTTTTTTAGTATCAAGAAAATAGGACTATTTAAAATATATTAGTATTGTGACATTATGTATCAGTGTTTCTAACTCTCTGAATGAATTATGTTGATTTCTGAAATTTAAGCTTTAAGAGAGTGATACAACTATTCATTTACCGTAAGCCCAAGAAAGATGCTTTCCCACTTCAGAAGGACATCCTCGTGATGGTAAAGAGAAAGAGCAACATTCCTGGGCTATCAGATGAGCTAGATCAAGATGATTTGACAGGCAGACTCATACATAGAGAGCAGGCAGACAGCTCTGAGATGGGGGTGGGGGTTTTAAGCAAAAAAGAAAAAAAGAACTCATGGACATGGACAGCAGTGTGCTGATTGCAGTGGGGGTGCAGGTGTTTCACACAATTATAAGACAAGTATGCAAATATTACATATTAGATCTTACTATTATTTACTTAGATAATATGCCAGAGTTTTGGATAATTTACAATGTTTTAAAAATAGTATATTCTATCTTTACAACTATTTCCCAACTATTTCATTGCCCTTGGTAGGAACATAGGTATTTCCATTTTAAATTTGAATTTTACCTGTAATTTCATGAAGAACTAGTTTAATTGCATTCACAGCCATTTCAGGATTATTTAAAGATTTTAATCTCAAACTTATTTTTGCTTCGTTTACTAGTGTCATATTTTTTAAGTAATTGCACTATCTGCTTACCTGCTAATTAACTTTTCCCCTCACTCTTTCATTCTTTCCACTTCTTTATTAAGCTGGTTTTCATCTTCACCAACAATGCTTGACTTTGGAGAGGACCATGTGTGGGTAGAATGCTACCTGATTTAATACTCAGAGTGAAGCGTCAATTGCAGGTACCAGCTGCCTGTGAGAGTAGAGTAGAAAACCTGCCTTAGTGTGGAACCACAAAAATGCAGCCACTGGATTGAGGAGTAAATGGGAAAGGGAAAATAAAAGATCAAGAGGAGGAAGGCTTGTATGGATTCCTCTATAGCTTGGAGCTATTTCTTCTTCTGTGACTTTTATTTCTCTTGTGAGAATTGGTGTATGTGGGGAGCTATTTATAATGAGGATTATATTCTGTTTCCTATTTTTAAATGTTTGTTGCATTGGTCAAATTGAGTTTTTATAATAATTGATATGGTGAGGAGATAATGATTCCATCTCAATTCAGATGTTGTAATTTTAAAGAAATGTCTAGTTTTATGAAGAAACTAGAGGCCCGATGCACGAAATCCGTAAAGGGGCTCAACCCTGGAAGCGCTGGCTGCCTCGGCCGACCCTCGCAGCCCCGGGTTCATGCAGAAGGTTGTCTGGATGGTCACCCGGAAGGATGTCTGGATGTTTGCTCTGCTGTTCAGTCTAAATAGCATATCAGCTCTACATTACATAGGATAAAGTAATAGACCAATGGAAAATATCTTTGTAAATAATGGATTTGGCAATAGAGACAGAAGATTTTGCAATCAAATTTATTTGATGAGCCAAAACCAGTTTGGCTCAGTGGATAGAGCATCAGTCTGCGGACTGAAGGGTCCCAGGTTCGATTCTGGTCAAGGGCATGTACATGGTTGCGGGCACATTCCCGGTAGGGGGTGTGCAGGAGGCAGCTGGTCGATGGTTCTCTCTCATCCATGTTTCTAGCTATCTATCCCTCTCCCTTCCTCTCTGTGAAAAATCAATAAAAATATATTTTAAAAAATTTATTTGATGAATCTGAAATTGTATTTTCTTTATTTTATCATACAATTTGCTGTAAATATGAGTTTATTCTTTGTTTTCCAACAATAAATATGTTCATGTATATATTTATAAATTAATAGAATCAGGCTTTGAGAATCTCATGCATTATAGAAAAGTTCAATGAATGTATTGAACATGAAATACATTTAAAGTTCTCAAACCTCCGAATTAAATGAAATATAAATAGTTACTTATTGGTACAATCTATTTTGGGGTTTATTCAATTGGGTTCTCCATTTTCATTCTTTCTCCTTTTGTTTCAAAAAAAAAAGTTACATTAAAAATAAGTTTTGCCAAATAAGTTTTCAACCCCTATTGGATTTTCTTACTGTATTTCATTAGCAACCTTTAATCAAGTGAAAGCAATTTCAATGGATTCATTTTACTTCAAAGAATTTTCCCTTGCCTATTTCAAGTAAACTGACTTGAATGTGGCTCATTCCTATTTTTGAGATACTGTGTCTTTTTTTTCTTCTAATTCTTCCCTGTTATATTTCTTTACTTATTAGATTCCACTAAAGTAGACGTTTCCAGTGTATGTGACCTTCAAACCATCAGGAAAGTGCTATTAGTAGCTGCAAACAAACCCTAGATATCAGTGACTTTCCACAGATGTCAATTTCTCACTCACAGGAAGTCCAATAAAGGTGGTTCTGATGTGGACAACATTCATCATGGTCTTTCAGGTACAGAGGCACCTTGTAACTTGTGACTCAATGCCATCTTCTAGAATCTCTGAGAGTCATAGATTTAGCCTCCCAAAGATGAAAGAAAATGGAGAATTTACACTGGGTTTGTGTAAGCAGGTTTATAAGAAGTGTTCATCGCTTATGCTCACATGTCCTTGTTCAGAACTTAGTCCCATGGCCACACCTAGCTGCAGGGCAGGCAGGGAAATGTGGTCTAGATAAATGCCCCCCCCCCAACCCCCAAAAAATAGGTTATAGGTTTGGTGAACAACTTTCAGGTTTCTGCCTCATCATGTTTTTCCTTAACTTTCTTTTATTTCTTGAAAATTGATTTCATTTCTTTAATTTAATTTAATAATTTATTTACTCAACAGATACTTACTGAATGCATGCTATGATCTAAGCACGTGCTATTGTTCTAAGCACTTAGGATATCTCAGTGAACTTTACAGACAAAAAGCTCTGATCATGTAGAGCTTACATTCTAATAAATGGGTCTAAATAATTTTTTAAAATTAGCATAATATATAAGTAAAACATTATAGGATTTTAAAAGATGACAAGTTTAACAGAAAGAAGTGGAGTGGGGGATGGAGAGAGCAGGTTCCAATTATAAGCAGAATGGCCAGAATGGGCTTCATAAAAAAAGTGACATGTGACTAAAAAAATAATAATACAAAAGATCAATGAAACCAAAGCTGGTTCTTTGCAAAGAGAAACAAGATTGACAAATCTTTAACCAGATTCATGAAGAAAAAAATTGAAAGTACCCAAATACAATCAGAAATGAAAGAGGTAAAGTAATAACTGCCATCAAAGAAATACAAAGGATTGTAAGAAAATATTATGAGCCAACAAATTGGACAAATTATATGAAATTGACAAATTCCGAGAAACATCCAGTCTTTCAAAACTGAATCAGGAAGAATCAGAAAGTCTGAATAGACAGATTACAAATAATAAAATTGAAGCAGTAATCAAAAACCTCTCAGCAAGCAAAAGTTTTAGACCAGATGGCTTCACAGGTGAATCTTACCAAATTCAAAGAAGAGATGATTCCTATTATTCTCAAACTATTCTAAAAAATTTAAGAGGAGGGAAAACCCACCCATTTTATGAGCTCAGCATTATCTTAATTCCAAAATGAGATAAAGACATTGCCCAAAAAAAAAGAATTATAGGCCAGTATCCTTGATGAATATAAATGCTAAAATCCTCAACAAAATATTATCAAAGGGGATCCATCAATACATTAAAAAAAATCATACATCATGATCAAATGGTATTTATTTCAGGTATGCAAGGTTAATACAATATCCACAAATTAAGAAATGTGATATAGCACATAAACAAAACGATGAATAATGAAAGCCACTTGATCATTTCAATAGATGTGGAAAAATATTTGATAAAGTCCAGCACCCATTTATGATAAAAACTAGAGGCCCAGTGCATGAAATTCATGCATGGGGGTATATGTCCCTCAGCCCAGCCTGCTCCCTCTCTAATCTGGGATCTCTCAAAAGATGTCCAACTGCCCGTTTAGGCCCGATCCCAGTAGGCAGTCGGACATCCCTCTCACAATCAGGACTGCTGGCTCCCAACTGCTCACCTGCCTGCCTTCCTGATTGCCCCTAACTGCTTCTGCATGCCAGCCTGATTACCCCCTAACCACTCCCCTGCCAGCCTGATTGATGCCTAACTGCTCCTCTGCCAGCCTGTTTGCCCCTAACTGCCCTCCTCTGCAGGCCTGGTCACCCCTACCTGCCCTCCCTTGCAATCCTGGTCCCTCCCAACTGCCCTCCCCTGCTGCCCATCTTGTGGCAGCCATCTTGTGTCCTCATGGGGCAGGCATCTTGTGTACTGGAGTGATGGTCAATTTGCATATTCTTCTTTTTAAAATTTTTTTTATATTTTATTGATTTTTCACAGAGAGGAAAGGAGAAGGATAGAGAGCTAGAAACATTGATGAGAGAGATACATCAACCAGCTGCCTCCTGCACACCCCCCACCAGGGATGTGCCCACAACCAATGTTCATGCCCTTGACAGGAATCGAACCTGGGACCTTTCAGTCCACAGACCAGAGCTCTATCCACTGAGCCAAACCAGTTTCAGCGCATATTACTCTTTTATTAGATAGGATTCCTAGCAAAGTGGGGCATCATATGTCAACATAATAAAAGCCATATATATGACAAACCTACAGTCAATATCATACTCAATGGGCAAAAACTAAAACCATTTTCTTTAAGATAAGGAACAAAACAGGGATGTCTACTTTCACCACTCTTATTTGACATTGTACTGGAATTTCTAGCCACAGTGATCAGACAAGAAGAAACAAAAGGCATTGTAATTGGAAAGGAGGAAGTAAAACTCTTATTATTCTCAGATGACATGATTTCACTTATATGTGGAATCTAATGATCAAAATAAACTAACAAAATAGAAACAGACTCATAACGAACAGACTAACAGCTCTCAGGAGTGTATGTGTGAGGGTGGATGAAAAAGTTGTAGGGATTAAGGGGGAAAAAGTGATATTTGAGAAACAATTTGAAAGAAGCTAGAGGATTAGCCAAGCAGACAGTAAGTGAAGAGGGTCTAGGCAGAGTAAACAGCCTGTGTAAAGGCCTGAGGCAGAAGCATGCTTGGTCAGTTTGAGGAACAAGGAGGAGGCCAATGAGACTGGAGTAGAATAAGAAGGAGAAAGTAGTATAAAATGGAGCCAGAGAGGTAATTGCAGAGTAAGTTGCGTAGGGCAGAGGTTCCCAATCTTTCTTTTCTCACAAGGCTCTTATTGTCTATGCAAATTTTCACATATCTTCTAGGTGAAAAGAAGTATCTTATCATTGCATTTATTAAATACATAAGTTTAAACAGCTTAATGAGTGTTTATGCCCTAATAATTTACTACTGAAAAATAATATATAGATATCAAAAGGACAAAATTATAGTTTTATTATTAAATAACCATCATTGCTAAAAGTTTGCATACACCTGTTGGATGTTGAACAGCTTATCAAATCTTGAAGTCACATTAGATACAGTGGTGCCTCACACAACGAACTTAATTCGTTCCAGGAGCAAGTTTGTTATGCGAAAAGTTCGTTATGTGAAACGCGTTTTCCCATAACAATACATGTTAAAAAAAATAATTCGTTCTGTAGCATAAAATATGCTAAGATGACATAAAAAAAGATAATTTTTTTGTTATTATTTTTATTTAGATACATCTAAAAACATATTTTTTTAAAAAAAAAACACACATTTTTTTAATTTTAAGACAGACTAAGTAGAGTCTACCGAATCTTGCACATCTTCATCCATTTTCTGCTTTTTGACCGATGGTTTCATGAAAAACCTGTCCAAAGTTGTTTGTTTTTCTCTTTTCTCCAACATCTGCCGGAAATAACGGACAAGAGTATCGGAGTAAAGATCATTGATCCTGTTTGCTTCAGCTGAATCCGGATAGTGGGCATTGGTAAACTCCTGAACTGCTTTCCATTTGACCAGGATGTTCTTGATGTCAGCAGTTGGGATTGGTTGATTGTTTGATTGTTGCTCCTCGTTATCTGATGACGCTTCCCTTTGAGCATTGTCCTGTTGCTGGACCAGAAGTGCTTGGAGCTCTTCAGTTGTCAGCTCTTCTTCGTGTTCCTCAATAAGCTCCTCTACATCCTCTTCCTCTACCTCTAATTCCAACCTTTGGGCCACTGTGATGATGTCCTTCACCACTTCTGTGTCATCAACTACTGCTTCTTCCTGGGTCCACGAAGGCACAAGCATCTTCCAAGCAGAAATGAGGGTCCTTTGTGACACTTCTTCCCAGGCCTTCTGTGTAAGTCGTATTGCCATAAGGACATCAAATTTCTCCTTCCAAAACTTTCGGACAGTCATATTGTCTCCACCAAACTCGCATTCTTCAAACACCTTATTAAAGAGGGCTCTAGTGTAGAGTTTTTTAAAGTTCGCAATAACTTGCTGATCCATTGGCTGAAGAATGGATGTGGTGTTTGGTGGCAAATACTGCACCTTGATAAAAGGATAATTTTCCTGCAATATTTCCTCTAGGTCTTTTGGGTGAGAAGGGGCATTGTCAAGTATCAGAAGGGCTTTGAGCGGCAGTTCTTTTTCCAGCAAGAATTTCTTCACGGCAGGAGCAAAGGTTTCCAGAATCCATTCGTTGAAGATAATTTGGGTCACCCAGGCTTTTTGATTGGACTTCCAATGGATGGGCAGTTTGGACTTAATAACGTTATTTTTCTTGAAAATTCTTGGATTTTCAGAGTGATAAACCAATAGAGGTTTGATCTTGAGGTCTCCGCTGGCATTAGACGAAAGCATAAGGGTAAGTCTGTCCTTCATGGCTTTGTGTCCTGGCAATTTCTTCTCCTCTTTTGTAATGAAGGTTCTGCTCGTCATTCTTTTCCAGAAAAGACCCGTTTCATTGGCATTGAACACTTGTTGTGGGCAGTATCCTTCATCCTTAATACATTTTTGAAAGTTAATAGAGAACTTTTCTGCTTCTTTCTTGTCAGCACTGCCAGCCTCACCATGCATAGTAACGCTGTGGATTCCACACTTTTTCTTAAATCTAAAAAACCACCCCCTGCTGGCTTTGAATTCTTCTTCATTATCTTGATTGTTGCTACTTCCAGGGACGTTTTTCTTTAGATCCTCATAAATTCTCTTGGCTTTGTGACAGATAATATCTTGGGTTGTTATGTCACCTTTCACCTGCCTGTCCTTAATCCAAATTGCTAATAGCCTCTCCATTTCCTCGTGGATTGAAGACCTATGTTTTTCATGAAATAGTTTTGATACTCCTTTGGCTACTTTGGCTGATTTGATTGCATCCTTATTTGTCAAAATGGTGAAAATGGTGGTCTTGCTGAGGCCAAACTCTTTGACGAGGTCACACTGTTTTACCCCACATTCACTCCTTCTAAATATTTCCTGTTTCATTTCAACAGAAATCACCTTCCTGCTTTT